ACAGATTGTAAAGTCTTATCTTGAAATATAGTGAGAAATTATAGTTCAATACTCCCAAAGAACTCTTTCTAAACTCTAACCCCATAGCTCCTACTAATCCCCTCAGAGATCCAGGTAGTAACGAATCTACATCACTAAAGCCATCCCTCTTGAGAAATGGTTTAGGATTTGAGAAAATCCTCAGAAATGGCTATAGGATGTGAGTCATGTGATACCAGAATGAAAAGCCATTAATTCACTTCATCAGCAGAAATGTTTGAGCATCTACTAAGCCCTTGTCACATAACTGAGGCAAGGATCTTTTAGCATAAGATGGGAGATAGGTTATGAATATAATACCATACACATGGGAAAAGAGATTACCTCCAACTCAGGGAAGTCAGGCTCAACTTCAAGAAAAATAAGCTACAGATTTAGCTGTTGATACTTTTCTAAAGGGTTATTTCTTTTATTTAATTTATTATTATTATTTTATATTACAGGGCAAATGCATTCACTAGAGAGAGAGAAAGAGAAAGAGAGGAAGGAAAAGCAAGAAACCAAGCCACTAGGCCTGGGTCTCAAACCACAGTTGGCCATGTGAGAGTCCAGTACCTTAACTACCATACCACCTACTGTCCTGCTATTGGTAATTTAGACAATGAGTAGCCACAGATATTTTTTGAACCATCATGAAGCATGATCAATGGTTCAGTTTAGAAATGTGAATTGAGTGACCTATTTCCAGATGAATAAATGGAACAGGAGAATCAGGTGAAATTTAACAGCTTAGAAATGAGTAGAGCCTGACCTGAGAAATAGAATCCCATTGATTTGTACCAATAAATATTTGTGAGAATATTGATAAAAGGGATAAGATGTTTAGACACTGAATAAGTGACATTGTTACGTTACTAAAATTAAAGTGAAATATAAGGCAAAGAACAAAGTCTGGGGTGGGAAGCTTGCTATGTTGTGAGCATGTTATTAAGTGTAGGGAGTATGCTGAACATACAAGTTAAGGGGTCTAGGTTACAAGTAGGAGTGCTTCAGGAAAGAACAAGATTAGATATCTAAGTTAAAGAGGCATCCTCACAGAAGTAACGACAGTGTTGAGGGGTTGGAAGAGAGGTGTCTACTGAAGAAGCAAGGGAACCAGAAACAAACAATGCCATTTAACATGTTATGTCTCTGAAATTTTTCAGTATGTGAAAACCAGTTGTTTACATCTCTTCTGATCCCTGAGTACTCTGTTCTTTTTTTTTTTTTTTTTTGGAGAGATTTTCACTGTAGGGCGCGTGCGCTCGCCAGACAGACAGAGAGAGACATAGAGACATAGAGACAGAAAGCGAGAAATCACCCCCCAGGGGGGATGGTCACGCCGCAATCCCTTCTCCTCCATTCTCCTCTCGGGATCTTGGGCATGCACGCACACGCGCCCGGCGTGAGTTTTAAGCCACCGGGTCCGGGACACGAACCACGGTCGACTACGTGGGAGTCCAGCGACATAGCCATTACGCTAACTGCTGGTTCCCAGTACTCTGTTCTTATTGGTGTTCATATTTCATTTTCAAATATAGTCTAAGCTTAGAAAAAAACAAGATTAAAAAATGAGAAACTATAATGCAACCCAGATTTACGGGAGTTTCAGTACTTTGTAGTACTTCATGACAAAACTGGAAGAGAATAATTTTCTAGAAAGAAAATATTGGATCATCGAAAAAGTCATGGTGTATTTTTCTGTTTTTCTATGCAAAAATGCATCATGACTTTTCTGATGACCCAATAGTATATATGTGAAATAATACTACAATCTATGGTCTGGTTTAAGAAATTATGCTTTTGGAGCCAGCAGATAATATAGTGACTATATCGCTGGACTCCCTCATGGCCAACTACAGTCCAGAGTATGAGTCCTGGACCCAGTAGCTTGTAAATCATGTTGGGTTCATGTGTGTGCATACCCAAGATCCCAGGAGGGGAATGGAAAAGAAGGGACGGCAGTGTGGCCATCCCCCTTGGAAGGTGATTTCTCACTTTACCTCTCACTGTCTCTGTCTTTCTCTCTGGGAAGCACACGTGCCCTAAGTTAAAAACCTCTCAAAAAAAGAAAGAAAGAAAGAAAGAAAGAAAGAAAGAAAGAAAGAAAGAAAGAAAGAAAGAAAGAAAGAAAAATTCTGCTTTTGGCCTGTGATCCCTGTACTACTCTTAGCTAACATATTTATCCCCTAGAAATGGACCATTATCTTTTTCTTCATCTCCTGTTAGATTTCAAGCTACTAATTAATATCATAAAGTTTGGTATCTCATAGGTAATGCATGTGAATATCCAATGAATTAATATTTTTAACTCACATTACATACTAGCTTTATTATGTGCTATTTTCTATTATTTATTTTTCAACTAAAGTATTTACATAAACAAATGGAACCAGCCTATCTGCTGGCCTATGGGCATAGACTTGCTATATAGCAAATATAAATATTATTTCTGGCAAAAATTAGATTTTATTTATAACATGTATGACTATATCTGGGTTAGAGAATAAAGGAAATATCAAAATATGACATATTTCAGATGATTACTATTTTCTTAAATTTATTTTTTCTGAAAGCTACTTTAAAAAACACTTTCCTTATCTAAAGATTTCCTTCCAAGGATCCTATAGTAGAGTTATTAGCTTTCTATTTTTATTTATTTATTTTTCAGAGATTTTTGCTATAGGATGCATGTGCTCACCAGAGAGACAGAAAGTGAGAAGTCACTCCCCAGGGGAATGCCCACACCACAACACCTTCTCTTCCATTCTCCTCTCAGGATTTTGGGCATGCACACGCACATGCCTGGCATGAGTCTCAGGCCATTGGGTCTGGGACTCGAACTGCAGTCTACTACATGGGAGTCCAGCGACATAACCATGATGCCATCTGATGGTCCCCGAGTTAGTGGCTTTTTATACATTAACTTTAGGTGTAGTAAACAGTGTTCAGAGTTTACCCTCAAACATTATAGAATGACTAAGTGGCATAGGATTATCAGATACTAGAATTAACACACATATTTAAGGATCTCAAGAAGTGAGTTTTACTGTCCCTGAAATCAAGAAGAGTGTCCCAAAGCCAGCCAGAGCAATGGTCAGGAGTGGCCCTCTGGGCCAGGCCTTTAGTGCAGTGGTTAAGCACTGTGTGGAAGAAGTTGGATCCTACTTGGCCAACTGTATTTTACATTCTAGCACCAGAAGCTTGAAAACCATGCTAGGTGCATATGTGTGCATCCACAAGATCCTGATGGGATGGAGGTAAAAAGGCCATCACATGATCACACCCCATTGTGGGATGTTTTCTCTCTCATACACTCACACACAAGTGCACATGCCGTATTGCATTAAAAAAAAAGTCCCTCTATCTTTCATATTCTATACCCCAGAGATTGTCATTTCTGTCCCTAATGCCAAGTTCATTTTATTTTGAAGTTAGAGTGTTTCAATTCAACTTGGCTTAATAATTGAGTAATACACTTATGACCATCAGGCAGGCATGATGGGGATATTGATATTGATATTGATATTGATAGACTCACGCTATTGACAGTATTTAGAATTCAGGTGAACTGTGAGTTCTCTGACATGTGTATCATATCATACACTAAGAAGAAAATTTACAAACAAGAAATTATCCAGAAGCTAAATGATTTTTTTTCTTTTTTTGCTATAGGGTGTGTGCGCTCACCAGAAAGACAGAGAGAGACAGAGAGACAGAAAGCAAGAAATCAGCCCCCAGGGGGGATGGCCACACCGCAATCCCTTCTCCTCCGTTCTCCTCTTGGGATCTTGGGCACGCACGCACACACGCCCGGCGTGAGTTTAAGCCACTGGGTTCAGGACTTGAAGCGCGGTCGACTACATGGGAGTTCAGTGACATAGCCACTATGCTAACTGCTGGTCCCAATGATTTTGTTTTCCCTTAGAAACAACAAATGAGAGCTTTGGTATGCTATTTTAGAAAAATTATGACAAAGATAACACACAATAGCAAACATCTGAAGTGTTCTATGAAAAGGGGAAGAGTGAAGAAAAAAATTAGATTTTAGTACTAAATTTCTTTCATTTTTTTGTACTTTTAGATTCTTACGGCCAAACTGATTAGTATAATGCCTAATATTTTGGCAATATTTTATGTGTAAGATAAATGGAGATCAGTAAAACAATATGATTTTCTATAATCATTCAGTTTAATAATATTCTCAGTCCCCAAATCCAAGAAATGGCTCCCAGTAAAAAATTTATTACTCCAAATTTAGTTCTATTTTCTTCCCAACAGAAAATCAGCATACCACAATCTGAAAATCACTTCTCTAGTTAGGTCTAGTCTTTTTTTATTTCAACAGAGTAAAATGACCAAAAGCTAGATCATGTAAATATAAGATTTAGAGTAAGAGCCTACTGCTATCCAAACTTTTATAAGAAGACAAGATTATTTATGACTCATGCATCAAAAATTGGTGAAAGTCGGGCTGGCCTCAAGAGTGCAACAGTTCAGCACTGTGCAGAGGAAGCTGGGCCCAACATGACTGACCAGGGTTTGAGCCTAGCCCTGACATTTTGAAAAACATACTGAGTGTACACATGTATCTGTGCCCAGGATTTTGAGATGGAGAGTTGGAGGAAGGAGGATTAAACATGACAAGATCCATGGGAGGGGGGGTACTTTCTCTCTTTCTGTCTTTTTCTTTTTGATGTACATGTATATGCCCTCTGGCATAAAAAAATGATGGAAGTCAGCCTTTCATTACTATTTCATTGCTTATTTTTCCTATTACCATGACAACAAGTCAAAACGTGACCCTTTATACCTCCAAATTAGTTCCAGGATATTGGGCAGTATTTACAAACTTTTAACAAAAATTTTCTGGTTCCCCAGAAGTGAGACATTTGGAGGTGTTTATGAAGAAATGTGAATGTTTTCATGTTCCATTGTTTTCTTTAGAGTAATGATTTCAACTTCTACAATGTTTTTGACAGACAATAAAGATTACGATGCATACTTGTCATACACCAAAGTGGATCCTGACCAGTGGAATCAAGAGACTGGGGAGGAAGAACGTTTTGCCCTTGAAATCCTACCTGATATGCTTGAAAAGCATTATGGATATAAGTTGTTTATACCGGATAGAGATTTAATCCCAACTGGAAGTAAGTTTGTTTTCCTTTCAGACTATGCATAGTCATATGTGTATCTGTGTATCATCAGTTTTTACACAGAAATTAAATTTTTGTTTCTTCAACAATTTTTCTGTTACTTTCTAAATAAATGTGTTCATAGGAAATTTAATTTTTAATATTTTTAGTACTTCAGAGAAGATACTTCCATTATTTTATAAAACATCTGATTTTATGAGCCTTGACATTAAAAAAAAGAGAGAGAGAGAAATTTATACCTGGAAAAATTATCTCTAACATTAGGAGAGGAAGATTCAAACTCTATTCAACGTGGTCTTTGGCTGTTTTAATATTAATATTTAATTTTAATATTCTCAAGGTAAAACAACAAACAATAACTCTCTTTTAATGTGTGAAAAAGACTCTATCAGGGCTTTCTGGACCAAATGTTCAATTCACTCATTCTGATACTCCCCTTTTTCTTTTGTAGCATACATTGAAGATGTGGCAAGATGTGTAGATCAAAGCAAGAGGCTGATTATTGTCATGACCCCAAATTACGTAGTCAGAAGAGGCTGGAGCATCTTTGAACTAGAGACCAGACTTCGAAACATGCTTGTGACTGGAGAAATTAAAGTGATACTGATCGAATGCAGTGAACTACGTGGAATTATGAACTACCAGGAGGTGGAGGCCCTCAAGCACACCATCAAGCTCCTGACAGTCATTAAATGGCATGGACCAAAATGCAACAAATTGAACTCTAAGTTCTGGAAACGTTTACAGTATGAAATGCCTTTTAAGAGGATAGAGCCCATTACGCACGAGCAGGCTTTAGATGTCAGTGAGCAGGGGCCTTTTGGGGAGCTGCAGACTGTCTCTGCCATTTCCATGGCTGCGGCCACCTCCACAGCTCTAGCCACTGCCCATCCAGATCTCCGTTCTACCTTTCACAACACGTACCATTCACAAATGCGTCAGAAACACTACTACCGAAGCTATGAGTACGACGTACCTCCTACCGGCACCCTGCCTCTTACCTCCATAGGAAATCAGCATACCTATTGTAACATCCCTATGACACTCATCAACGGGCAGCGGCCACAGACAAAATCAAGCAGGGAGCAGAATCCAGATGAGGCCCACACAAACAGTGCCATCCTGCCGCTGTTGCCAAGGGAGACCAGTATATCCAGTGTGATTTGGTGACAGAAAAGCAAGGGACATCCCGTCCTGGGAGCTTGAGTGAAATCCGCAGTCCAGTGCCTGGAACTAAATCCTCGACTGCTGCTGTTAAAAACATGCATTACAATCTCTAGAACACGAGGAAAAACAGGGTCTTGTACATATGTTTTTTGCAATTTCTTTGTAGCATCAGTGTCTTCCTGTTTTACCATGTCTCTTACCATTACATTTTTTGACTTTGTTTTATATGTCACTGGAATTTGTAAATTTACATTTTTTTTAAAGAAGAGACTGATGTATAGATAGAAAACCCTTTTTTGCTTCATTAGTTTAGTTTTAGAATGGGTTTTTGATTATTTTTTTTATTTTATTTTGCTTTTTAACATTTCCTTGGGGTGCTTGGACAAATCTATCCGATGGGATAGGGAGCACCGGATCCTCTCTCGGGTTCTGCCTAGCATCAGCAGGGCCAAGTCGGCCTTCAGAGAGCAGTGCGACGAATGCCAGCATTGCCATTTGGGGAGAAAAAGAAGATGAGAACATTGATCATAGGAAGGCCCCGCCAGTCAGAGCCCTGAATCTCTTCCTTGTCCCACCTCATTCCCCACCTCTACCCTTCTATTGGCGGCATGATGTGTAAACTCTGCGGAGGGGTGGGGGTGGGTCTAACTGTCTTAACATTTAATTCACTGCTCTTCAGAATACACTCTAGACCCAAAGGTGTGCTAGTCACTCGACAGTGACCACAACAGAGTGCTAAGAAGAGAAGATTAAGGGAATGAAAATAGGGGAGAGTGTTGTTTCCGTTTTAAATTAAGCCCTATATTTGATCACTTCCTGGAAAGGCATGACTGTGTTTGTGGCTGGTTTTGTTTAATATTTTACTTCCTCTTTTCTCTCTATAATTTTTCTACAAATGAGATTATGTGCAAATGCCAGGCAAGTTAACGGAAAAGGGTGAATCAACGCAAGTCAAAATGAAATTTACACTGAAGGCTTCCATACCAAAGGGAAGGACAGGATGTGTCATCCAATATGTTTTGTCACTTTGTATTATACAAAACGTTATTTCCTAGAATCAAAACAGTTTGTGAAACTTATTGTGGGGTCCCCTTGTATTTAAATGTTAACTAGTTTGTGATTACTTTTTCAACACTACATTCAGAATTAAGTGTTTGGTTTGGTTTTGTGAACATAAGCAACACTTATTCATATCAAGGTGTTTAAGAACTCAGGAGGTCAAACATATGAATACCAACAGAAATTAGTATTTTCAAAATAAACATTACTTACAAAAAAAGGTTTTAAAATTAGATCAGAAATCATTTAAAAGGATTATTTTTACTGTATAAAGAATTCATTTTACTTTAGCTTTTTGATTCTTTCAGAAACAGAAAGCTGATATGCCCAGGAAATTTGTCTCTTACCATTTAGCTTCATGTTTGAAATCAGTGCCATAGCAGATAATTCATAGTCATGTTAAGGATGATGCAAAACAAATCACAAAGATTTCTGTACAGGGCAGAGTTATTAAAAGGAAATATTGCCTATGTAGCTTTTAGTTAAAAAATCAATGTCATAAAAACACTGAGTATATAGAAGTTATACATTACTTAAGTGACCCGTTATAGGAACTTCCATCCCAGTCAATGTCTGTAGGCTCGTATAGTGACAATTGTATGTTTGGTTTATTCTTACTACCATATAATGAGAAAACAATTCTATAGTTATAGTCACAATACTGAGGTGTGAGTTGGCTAAAAAAAAAAAAAAAAAAAAAAAAAAAAAAAAAAAGCGAACATCTAAAGTGCAGTACAGTTCATTGGGGAGGGTAAGCTTGACTTGCAAGTATATGAGAGATGAGTATAAGCATTTTGTAACAATGCAAAGGTCTCAATATCATGTGACAAGTTAAAGGAGCCTTGGGATGTACATTGATTTTCATTTGCTTAAAAAATGTTTATTTCCCTGACAACTCGCCTGGGTCCTTCTCTGCAATCCGTTCTTTATTCCCATGCTCCCCTTGGACCTGTGTCACATTTTCATAAGCCAGAACTGAAGCTGCAAGGACACGTAAACCTTTAAGGTCAGCTTTGCACATTGGGTTATTTTCAGAATCCAAGAAGGCCATTGCTTACTTTGTACTATGGACACCTGTCAGGGACTGATGGCAGTGAATCTCACTGGACTGGATTCAAAACTCCCCCAGTGCTAAGAAAACTGTAAACATGGCAATGGCCTGGTTTATGTCTTTGTTTTGTTTTTTAATTTTTTTTTATTTTAAATTTTTATTAAGTGCACGATGGACGTGTGGAATAAATGTAAAAGAAGTAATCAGACCACAATCATATTTTAGGCATCCATAGGTGTTAATTTAGCTGCATTGGGAGTACATTTTTTGTTCTATTTTTAGTGTAGATTTAAGCACTTTGAATAGCATGATTCAGGGATTGAGGGGTAATATTTGATATTCTCACAACTTAAGAAACTTTTTTTCCTCTAATGCTTTGTCATATCTTTTCAAATGAAATAAATACAAAAGAAGCTTTCTATGGCTTTAGAAACATTCCTCCCAAGTATTCCTCTATCAGCTCCATGTGAGAACAAATGAAAGAAACTGTCATGTGTTCACATGCTATATGTTTAACAGAAGCTAGAACTCACAATAAAAAGAGAAAAAAAATGTGTTTCCCTTAGTGCTTAGGTTTTATCCTTCTCTTTTATTGGTGGGGGCTGTGGGGGATAAGAATACTCTAGCTGTAAAAACACAGTTGAAAGTGTGAATTTGTTAGCCAAGCTGGGGGAGAGAATGGACTTCCAGACTTGGACATGTGTGATGTTTGGTATTGCTTGTTTTTCATCAATCACTGCTTGGGCTCTGAATGACACGTAATGGATTCAAAAGTCCATCTGGTTCTTTAATGTGACCTCTACCTGCTGCTTATGAGCGTCCTACCCTTTATCCTGGTGCTCAAATCTTTGATTATTGAGTTTTTACTCCATTCCTTAGGTCTCCAATGGGCAGAGAAGACATTTGCATCTCGTGCAGCCAGCTGATTTAAGTATAGATAAATTCTATGAAGTAAATCCAAAACATGATGAGTTAAGAGACCTGGACATATTATATTTCTATAGTTAAACACCTGATTGTTAAGTCAACCATCTTGTAATTATTACTTTTTTCATAGTGTATGTATTTGGACCCTATTTCCTTAATCTTAAATATATAGATGCTGGCTTCTTCCATGTTTCATTATTATTTAGCATTTTATAACAAAAGCAAATATTAACTGAGAGCCAGCTTTAAAATTAAGTAAGTTGTGTTTATCCTAGAATAGTCATTAACTTTACAGATACCATTTATGTAAATTGAGATCACCTTTTCTGGGAAAACATTGATTCAAACATTTGTGAATTATTTTCTGGTTCTGGAATGGTGCCCTAGTTATCCATTTTTTAAGGAGCATTTTTTTTAAATTGTGGTCTTAATTTCTCTCTTTTTAAAACTAAAGTTTATATCATTAGTCCCAGAAGAAAGCTTATTGAAATTCAAAGGATAGAATCCACATTGCACAAGTAAATGACTGAATGGAGCTAAAAGAGTACACAGACGCTGAAGAGGAAAATCCCTTACCGTCTCCGATCTGAACTTGCTTGGTCATCAATCCCATTATTGACATAGTTGATTCATAGAGGTGAAGTATTATTAAATAGGCTAGAAATCTCACCTACAGTCACACATTCCCTATTGTTGAAGAATCTTTCTAATGATATATACAGTTATTACAAAGAGATGATGATGCAAATGGGTTCCTTAAAAGGAGAAGCTTGTCAGTGGAAGCAGAGGCTATTCCTTGCAGTGTCATGAATCCTTCCCACTTTATTGTTCTAAACAAAGATGGTAACCAACAGTCCAATTTTGATTATCCTTAACAAAGGCCTTAGATTTGTGTTCAGGTATATATATTGGGTCTCAAAAAAGGATGAAAGGAAATAAGCCCTTGAAGTTACAGACAAAATAGTTAATTTATGTAAACTGTTGACCTGACTGTAAGTTTCAAGGCATTTCTCACCTAAAATGCTGTCATTTTAGACTTAGAGGATATTCTTAGAAACCAATATTCAGATAAACCCGCATATCTTACAGGCATTCTATGTTTATCATTCCTATCTTTTAAATATTTAGGAGGTGATTATCACTCTTCTAACAGAAGCATTTCCTCTTCCAAAATGGCCCTACTTTGTGGGAGAGCTAGTACTTGTTGAAGAAAAACTTCATATGGTGACAAATAATTCATCCCCAAATAAATGAGAATTGCTTATTATTATTGTGATAATTTACTCATTTCTTCACTTATCAAAAGATAGTTTGGGGGACTGCAAAATCATGTAATTTGGCAATGACACCTTATATCATTAAAATCCTTTATGATTTTTTATTTAGGTTTCCTACCACAAAATTAAAAATTCACCCAGTACAGGAAGAGAAGAAACAGCCATTTGACATATTTTTCTAAAAGATACAGTTTTCTTATACAAAGATTTAGAATTGGTTAGATATGTGATTTTCAGTGATTATGTCTTGTTCAATATTACTTAAGGTATGATTTTTTGGAGCCATATGAAGAGTTTTGATAACTAAAGTGCAGTCATGGTTATTTAAATTTTTTTTTTATTTGTGATTAGTAGAAATCAAAGTTAAGGCTAAGTTAATAAACTGAAATACTGTCTCAAGGATCTGAAAGATCTGAATAAATTTGAGTAAGACAAAACTGATGATGAGTTAATGCTAATCATAATTTTATGTGCCTTGTCATCATGAAACTTCAGTCACATACATCCATAGAAAAGGAGGAACTCAGCTCCAGTCTTCCATTGAGTGTCATTTTTTTCCTTCCAGGCTCAGAACAAAAGCATCTCCCCATTACACATGCAGAAGATTATACATATACACACATACACACACATATGGCAGAAGCTATACATATATTAATATATATTAATATATGTATATATTGAGCAGAAGATAGACATATATACACTAATACCTATATCTATATCTTCTGTTCATTAGTAAATTTTCCTCTAAATAGCCTCTGGGTCCACTGATGACAAACTTATGTTTCTGAACTCTTT